TTCATGTACGTCTTGTCCTGACTGCTTTGCCGAGATGTCAAGAATGTGTTTTCTGGAGTGATTCCCGAATACTACAGACTTCTTGAATAAAGAGGATTTCCAGCAGTTGAATTTCAGACCTCTAACTTTGCCTTAAGCCCTGACCTCCCTAAAATAGTAAGACATGTTCCAAGCCTGGTTTTACTGTAACTTACGTACTTAAGGGAAATTCATGTGGAATTCACTCATTCAACAGCTACCGGGTCCCTCACTATTAGCCAGGCATCATTTTGGACACAGGTCAGCAACAGCAAAACAATATTCCTTTGTGAAGCTTACTTTCTTGAATAGTTGTTTTAAAAATATGCTATTTTAAAATACTTACTGTCTATGGTTGAGTCAGTAGCATTTATTCAGAAATGCCACATTCCCAAAGTAGCCACTGTAAGTACTTTGGAAGCTGTTCCTTTTTGTCCTAAGACTTGGGTAATTAGAAATTGGTTACTGTTGGTTTTAGTGCTATTCACTACATGAAAACTGCCTAAGATATTTGGGGGGTGTGCTTCTCCCTTATAATTAAGTTATATAATTGGTAAACTGATAGTCTCCAGGATATTGTTGCATTTTCCTGGATAATTTTTTTAGCATCTGTATTAGAACACAGGATGGCACTTTTACCAGACTGTGTGACCTGATTTGTAACATGTACTAACTTTCTCTAATAAATGTTTAGTTTTATCACTGAAAAAAGAAACTATGGAAGAAATGGTAATTTATGGTGACTGTGGTTTTCAGAATTTGGACCTTTAGAGACAGGCCTTAGCTGTAGGCCCTATGTTTGAACTTTGATGGTTTGTGTTTTGTTCTTGTCTTTAAAATAATGGAAGTAATAATGAGATGGGAAAAGACTGTTGTCTACTTTAACATATCTTTAACTTTTTCTTTTATGTGTATGGGTGTTTGCCTGAATGCATGTCTGTGCACCACATCCATTCCTGCTGCTCATTGAATCCAGAAGAGGACATCAGTTAACTTGGAATTTGTGAGCCGTGAGGTGGGTTCTGAGAACTGAACCTGGGTCTTCAGAAAGAGCAGCAAGTGCTTGTAACAGTTGAACCATCTCTCTACCCTCATTGGCTACTTTTATAATGATTCTATTTAGACACAAAGGAAGTATCTGAGCAGGAAGACCTTTCCCACAAATGTTACAATAGAGTAAAAGACAGTGAAAGGGGAAACCTGGAAGTACAAGTTCAACCATGCCTACCACACAGGAGCATCTTATTCCTCCCATGTTTCTTCATAGCTCTGTGTTTTATTTTTCATGTTCAGTATTCCATTCAGTGAATTAACCATTCTGTACCTTATTGGAGAAAAGTCATATGGGGAACAGGATTGCTAGCATGAAAGTGCTTGCCAGGTAAGCCTACGAACCCGAGTTCTACCCCTCATGTCCATAGTGGATGGTAGACCCAGCTCATAAAAGTTGACATCCTGTTGGTTGGCGGTGATGCGCGCCTTTAACCCCAGCACTCGGGAGACAGAGGCACGTGGTTCTCTGTGAGTTCTAGGCCAGCCTGGTCTACAAAATGAGTTCCAGCATGGCTAGGACTGCACAGGGAAACCCTGTCATGAAACCAAATAAAAATGTACTCATCTTGAATCCACAAATACATGCTGTGACACATACATGCATATGTGTACATACACACACACAAAGAATGATAATTTAAAATAAAAATTACTCATAATATAGTCTCTGTATTGTGAGCTATCCACAAGAGAAAATTACTCAGACAAAGGTTCACACATATAGAATGAATTTATTACCTGACTAGTAACCACATTGGGTATTCAGGATCCCAAAGTAGCTGCCAGTCTTTCTCAGGGTGAGTTTTTAAGCACGTGCCTCTGCCTCCCGAGTGCTTGGGTCGATATGCTTCAGGTACAAGAGCAGTTAGTTAATTGTGGAACTACAGAACACAAAAAGCAAGTTAATACATTTAGAGGCTTTCCCAGAAATATGGACATGATGGATTAAGTCTTTTTGCTTTGTTGTAGCACTTGGTGAACATATACTGAATAGTATGGCCCTGAATGATACTTCCATCATGGAGTCAGTTGTGCTAAGGTATGAGGCTCTGTTACAGTGTTAGACTTTTTGTCCCACTTTAGTCTAATGAAAGTATCCTTCAGTTATTTTAGGCAGACCAGGTAAAGCGATAATGCTCATGAGATTAGATGGATACAGTGCATTTTAGACTTATAATATGTCATGTCATGATGGATTTATCATGATGAAGTTTGAACCAAAGTCAAATAAAAGTTTTACTCTGATATTTTGTCAGATCTTTGACTACAGTGGGTACCTGTTCATATTGGGATCAAAGAACCCTCAGCCTATTGGCTACTAAGCATGAATTTATGTACCTCGTCATGGCATTAAAGGTGCAGAGTCAACAGTATCAGAAGGAACAGTAGGGCTAGAGGTCCTGCAACATTGAAAAGTACAGATTCCAGCCAAGAGCAACCAGATAATGAGAACAGAAACCCTGGACTGCCTCCATGCAGAGTCTTTCCCCTCCTATGAGGTAGTTTTTATGCATAGCCAAATTTCCTCTAAGGATCTGTAAATGGTTTGTATAAATCAGCAGATTTTTCCCCATGGTCCATACTTATGGGCTTGCCTGTCTGTTCTAGTACTGAGCAAGTGTTCCCATGTCATCCAGAAAGTTAATGGGAGCACTCAGCCATTCTCTCAGACTAATCCTGGGAGCCGGGTGTGGCATAGCGCACACCGCATCAGTCTGTCTCTGTCCCTACCTGGAACACAGATGCAGACCTGTGTTCTCAGTTCAGGCACTTATTTTCCAATAGAACATTTCCCAACGGCATGCACATCAGCTACATGTTGGACATTCGTCTTTCCAATGGCCTCTCTCCTCACCCTGTGCACATTGCTTGTTCCACAAAAGTGTTCTCTTTCTTTATGTCTGCTACCATCATTCGTACCTTTTCCCAAAGCCTTATCCTGTGGTTGGCAGGTGGCCAACCACACCATAGCTGGTTTCCTAGTCTGTCTGTCCTCTGGAGTATTTTTCTTATTATACACACAGGAAACAATCTCAACTAATTCTGACAATAAATTTCTTGAAACCCTTTTATTTTCTGAATTGACTTCCTATTTTCTATCTGGCGCAGACTGGGAAACAAAGGCCATATTAATAGACCTCTGATTTCCTATGACCTCCAGGTCATTTGGGGTGTAACTCTGAAAGATCTCTAGGAGGCACTTCGGAAAAGCAAATGGGACTCATCTGAACCCTGGCTTACCTTAGATAAATTTGTGAGCTATCTTGGTGTTACCTAGAGACATCCCCCTAACAGAGTCTGGTGGCCGTGGTTGAAAGACTCACTACCTTCACCAGAACTCAGGTCCCATCCCAGCTGTTGGACAGAGAAAACTTCTTGGATAACCACATGTTTCAACAATAACTGTTGATTTCTCTCATATCACCCCTGTCCCTCTGGATTGTCTCTGCTGACAGAGCTTCTCTCAAGAGGACAGTGTCTGGATCAAGGGACCCATGTTGGGGAAGCACATTAGGAACAAGAAGGGAAACATGCTGCTGAAACATACCTGGGGCAGTGGATCATGCCTCTATAGGGGTAGACCTGGAAAAATCTATTACAAATGTGTGGGTGGGAATGAGGCTATTGACAGAAAATCTGAGGGACACTGAAACCTACAGTCAGATGGAAGTCAATGGCCAGGAGACTGGGGATGATAGGGTATTCTGCTCCTTGACTGCACAAGGCTCAGCATTGACTCTGGAGGTAAATATCTCCACCATATCCGTGCCCTGGGGGAATAAGGTGACTTCACAAGTGACTGGGGAAAGTGAGAAGGGCCAGAGAGTGTCTCAATTGGATGGTTTCTATGTGGCCAATATTTCAAGTGTATAGGGTGGTAGCATTTCCTCTTCTTCTGGCGAGATTGACAATACTGTGGAATACACTTTGTCCTACCCTTCAATTTCATGTATTTCTTCTGAAATTAAGGGTTAGCATTAGGGGAGAATTGACTGCTACTTCCTTATCATGGATGGGGAATCCTCTAACATAAACATTCGGGTCAGAATATAGTGCCGTTCACCAAATGTCCTAGTTAACTAAAATCTACAGGTTGTGACCCGTAAATAAGAAAGGCTGAACAACCCTGCAGCTGGATAGACACATGGAAAGAAGGCCAATCAAAGGAACAAAAGGTAATTGTTTTGCTAACATAGACCTGTTTCCATACTTCTGAGTATTTCTCTAGAACTCCTTAAAGTGAGGATTCACCAGGGTCAGCGGGATCTCCTGAGTGAAAACTTATGACACATCACTTCTGACTTTTTAAAAAAATAATAAGTAACACTAAGAAAAGCAAAGGAACACAGAGATTACAGACAAGGTACTACAAATGGAGGCCATCCCTTCTCCCAAAATTGATCACCCAGACCCATCCAAGAGTCCCAGAGTCCTCTGGGTCCCTATGAGTCTAGAAATAATGCTGCTTCCAGCTTTTCTACTAGCATCAATACTCCATGTTAGCACAGACAGGATCATTACCTAGAATTCCAGAGGCTTTCAGATGCCTCCTTTTACAAATTTCGCATTTGAAAACTTGCTGTTGAATCGTGCAAGTACTTGGCCTCTCACATTTCTAGGGCCGCAGACCAGGAATTCACCTGCAGCATCCACAAGCATTGGACTCTCTGATCTATGTTTTGTTCCAGACTGTAAGTCCTTAAGACCTGAATATTCACTCCTCTATGAAGTTTAGGTATTGGGGACTTGCCCAACAATCCCCCAAACTAGGCTTTTCCAATACATAAGCCCCTTGGCTGAGAGTCCCCAGAGAACCAAGGCCAGTCAGAAAAAAAACTGGCAGCAACTGTGTGACTGCCCAGATCTCACTGGAGCCTCCAAATGTTGAAGGTCTGGGGTCATTCAGAAATTCACCAGTGTGACTCAAGTTTTGATTTTTGTTAGGGCTTTTATTAAAATGAGACTGGCTAGGACCAAGCCAGAGAGAATTTGCTAGGTAAGGCCCAGGGCATTCTTACCCCAAGGAGTATAAAGGCAAAAACTGAGCTGGAGAGATGACACAGCAGTGAAAATCACTGTCTGGTCTTCCACTGGACACAGATTCAATTCTTCGCACCCATGTGGCAGCTCACATCTGCCTGCAATTACAGTTCCATGGTATCTTCCAACCTCACACAGATATACATTCAGGCCAGACGGTAATGCACATAAAGTAAAAACAGATCACTTAAAAATGGAAAAACAAACAAAGACATAATTTTGGTGAGCCATCTTGTCTTTTATGCTTCCTGGGTATGGGCAAAGGTTGACTTTGTAACAAATGTCCAGCATAGGACACAGTCATCCTAGTAAGCAAGTGTTTCACACCAAAGCACAACTTGGTAGTTAAACTGTTCATCTTTGGACCCATTGCCTTGTAGGGACAACTGAGGTAATAAAATATTATTACCATCATCAGTTTTTAAGACCACAAGAGGAGGATCTATTTTCATGAAAATACAACCACAAGAGGAAAGGAAAAAAGAAGAAATGTATCTCTTTGAGAATTCTCTGTTCAGGAGAAGACAAGAGGCATGTATGAATCCTTGCAAGGGTACCTACCTCATTCCTAGATTATACTTCAGAAGAATAAAATGAAGTGTGTCCACTGTTCTTGCCAATATTTATTCCCTTCCTGGAGAATGAGTGCTACTTCTGCTACTTGACTTCTGATTGACTTTGGGTTTTTTTCCGGCCTTTTGGACAGGCTCAGACCCACTGGAACTCCAGGGATGGGAAAAAAACTTCAAGACCCTAGACCTGGATAATAGTGTACAGGGCAACAACTCACCATAAAATGCTATCATGAACTATGAAACTGCATCAAAACTAGCTACAAACCCTGGATGGCTATAACCAGGGCAACAGCTGAGGCATACTGCAGAATGGCCCAATTTCATTTCTGGAATACCAGCATCTGGTTTCCTCAGAACACTGGCTCCAAAGTTCAGTGTGATTTCACAATTTTAGAATCTACAGTAGCCCTGGAGTCTCACTTCTCCCAAAAACAAAACCCAGTGTGTGAACTCCATGTAGTTTTCTATATTGGCTCTGTTCCTTTGCCACTTTACAGACAAGGTTAAATTGATAGATTCACCAAAAGAAAAGTAGTGGCTGATGCTGAAAAGAAACAGAAGCAAACTCCACAGATAAAGAGGAACTCTGAGCTCTTTACCCAGTTGTTCCTGAACTGGAACCAACATGTCCAGTGTGAATGAAACATATCCTTGGGGGATTAAATGATACTTCAACCATCAAGAGGACAACAACACAAGAGCACCCACCAGAGTCTTCCTGATTGCCACATTGACTTGAAAATCAGAAATCCACACCACAGCAAACAGCAGACACCAAAACAAAGCAATTCAATAGTCACTCTACACAGTTGCCACATGTGTAGACCTGCATCATGAAATCAAGAGCCCTGACACTGCAGGAAAATGACAAAAGAGAAAACTCCAGGAAGAGCAAGCCATCTATGTGTAGTCTCATGAGACAACCAAGCTTTGGAAGAGGTTGAAACAGAAACAGGATGAAATATAGATTTGGTATGAAGAAAAATACCTGGAACCCCAGGAAGAATGTTGATTACAGCTAGAGCTGCAAGAGGGTGTCAAAGACTCTCAGGAAGAGGATATAATAAGGAGACATTTATGCATGATATCAATGGTCCTATGACACAGGGGAATGTGTTCAAAAACACCACAAGGAGAAGTAACTAAGAATGCTGAAACAACTTCTAACTGGTGACCATGTAGACTCTGAAGCTCAAAGACCTCACATAAGTCCTGTAGATACTTATGAGAAGACCAAAGACTGTGGCAGGTTCAATTTCAGTTAAAACAATCTGCCTGTACTGTTCACAAGGGAACATAACTAATGAGTCAAAAGGGAAAAGAGAGGTACAGAAGATAAAAATTTGGATACATAGAAGAACATCAGGATGATCCTAGAAAATGATCAAAAGGGAACCTAACACCCAACCTGAATTTTTGAGAGGAACCTTTTGCCCGGTCTGCATAGACAGTGTCAGCAATGGAATGCTGAACTACAGCATCTCAAAACCAATACATGTAGGCAAGGAAAAGGCATTCTTGATCAAGAGATGGGCAGAGGAAAACGCCAGAGCCCTACTGTCACTGCAAATGCAAAAGAGAATATGAGAAATTAAGGCCTAGGGCCATAGATGAGATTTTAAGTTATGCATTCAACATGTGAATTACAGAAGGAGTCATCTTGTGGACACCAAAAGATGCTCATTGGCGAAAAGTGAAGTCATCAAATTTACATGAATCATCTCACACAAAGGAGCAAAACACAGGGATATCCCCAACTTCAGGCATTTAGTACCTTCTTTTCCACAAAATTAAAGTCTGAGGATGAAGTTAGTCAAAAGATGGACCCAGGGAGTGAACCTCTTTGCAAAGGAACTTTTTATAGTGCCAACTCATCTAGATGTGCAAAGGAGCATGCTTGTTATTGATTCTAAAACAAAAACATGAGGACAAAGTGAACTTTGTCTACCTGGATTCATAGGTAGAGAAAATACCTGATATTTTTGAGATGAGCATGAAAGTTCCACTGAAACTCCTATGTGACAGAAGGTGGAGGCGAAAGGTTCATTAAGAACAGGCATGACCCAATAGGATGAACTTGATGTGATGAACCACCCCTTTCTAATGGAGGCAGGATACTTAGAATTTGTGGTGAACTGGGCCCCTGGTGGCTGTCCAGAATCCAGGCATCTTCACTGAGTTTGGTAGAGACAGGAGCCACAGATATCACCTCAGACCCTGGCTACTGCAGGTCAATGGATCCAATTATGACCCCTTGGGAGCAGCCCAGGCACGGAGTCATCATGTCCTCCAGTAGCAGGACTGGCCACTCAAATCAGCATGGCCCCAACAGTGGCATGGCCGTCTGACACCAAAATAACCTCAGGTAGTAGACCAAATCCCAGGCATCCATATGGCCTTAGGGACAACATGGTTCTTGGACATCAACAGAGTCCCCAGTTGCAGTAAGACCGAGAACCCAGACATAGCCTTAGATAGCATGTGAGTGAATCAGAACAGTTATAGGGAAGATAAGATGAAGGATGTAACTGTGTTAATTGAAATGGTGCTCTACTCAGTGGTGGAGCAAGACAACATGCAGCGTGCTTCACAGTCTCTGGTTCAACTTCTGCCTTCAGGTTCCTCAGTTGCTTCACTGGATGATGAAATATCACCTGTAAGCCAAATAAAAACTGTGGTTCTCCAAGTGCATTTGGTCAGTGTATCACCCCAGCAACAGAGAAACCAATTAATATCACCTAATAACATATATATATGTATAATATATATATATGCATTTCAGCCATTGAAGTACAAAAGTAAACATGACACCACATAGAAAAATGAGTTTTTACATGATTGGAGAAGAGAAGAAAGCAGAGGGAACAGGTCATTTCCATTCTCTATGTATATATACGGCATATAAAAGCATCCAGATGAAAGCTAAGACGGGTTTCACTTGTTAGACAGTTGTTTCCTCTCTCCTATACCTCTGAGCACTATGACAATATGTCATAACACATGAGTCATAGCAAATCTACACCCTGTGGCTTACATCTGATCCCAGCTCTCTGGGGAGAAGGTAAGAGTGTGACTACTGTGGGGCCAGTCTGAGATGCATATGAACACTTTGTCTTACAACTAAGATTCTGATCCTTCCACAGCCAAAACCATGTTCCCTCTGTTGTGGTGACTGACTGTCCTATGTTTGTGGAGGGGTTAAATATTGTTCACAGTATACTAAACTTCATGGTTGAGGAACTATGAATTTCAAGTCATTTTCGGGATCAAATAATGTATCTCTGAAATAAGACCTTCTACACCATTGCTCACAGTTTCTTACTTGAGAATTAATTTTAGTACATCCTTTATTTTCTGCAGTAGGTATTTGTTGTTTGAAAAAGACTGTTTAGTGTTTTAAATGTTGAGAATATAAAACAAATTTAAAGATAAGATTCTATCAATATTAATATATGAATTTAACCAAAAGTGAGGACGTTTTTACAATGTCTCCCAATGCTGGGAGAAAAGGAGCCTGCTGAATAAAAAGACAATCTTTGCCTTACTCAAGATTTTGACTATATATAAACTTTTAGCTCTTTATCTAACCACCTAAAAATATAGTGTAGCACACTAGTGTGCCTTTATAGAAATTTGATTATTTAATCTCTTCGCTAACCTTCTTCTCTCTTAAGCAGTTTATTGGAAGCTCACTAGACAATCCTACCTTTGTGTTGACAATTAGGAATTCCCCCATGTGAAGAATATTATCTGCCTTTTATTGTGCATAAGAATTCTAGTCCTGGACACCACTAGGGCTGAAATTGTTGGTTGTAAGCATATATAACCTGGAAACATTTGTTGTGGGATGGAGAACTATAAAGAGACAAGGATAGACATGGATCATGTTGTATGTAGATTCTCTTTCCCGTAGATTTTTAGCTCCTTTGCTTATCTTGGATCTTTTCTTTGAATTGTGAGTGAAAATTTTAGAGACTGGCCTTCTAAACTTTTCAATAGATGGGCTCATGTCAGACAAGTAAACAGTAACAAGGAAAGAGAGGAGGTTTGGGATGAGAGATGAAGGGGAGGAAACAAGAAGAAATAAAAAGAGAAAGAAACCAGAGGATAAAAATGTTATACATATGGGACATTTGAGCACAGACATCAAATTTTTTTCCATTTCTGTATGTCTGTCCTTCAGTTTATTCCTACCCCAGGATCCCATCTAGGATGCAGGAGAAACGTAGTCCCCTCAGCATATTCCTCTGACACATAGACTTATGTAAACTTAAAACTGTTACCTTGCTTCCAGGATCATAGTTCATTAGCTTGGCGAGACAGTCAATATTTTATACAGTTAGCCAGTTTGGCTATTAACAATCTATTTTCTCAACAATACTCTAGAGTAGGTATTCTCTTCATGATTTGAGATCAGAATAGGGAAGGTACACAAGCTTAAACTGCTGAAGAGAGACTGGGCCAGGATTCCCATTCTAGAAATCTTGTTCCTGAGGTTTTAGTCTGAGCTATTGTCCTCTAGAAACAGGTATAAACCTTGTGAAATTTCCTTCTTGTAGAAAGTTCTACCTTATCTGAACATGGAATGCATTCTTTAGAAATTGCTAAAGACATCCAAAATATGTAGGGCAATAGAGAAATCAACAAAAATAGTGTGCCAAACAGCTCAAAACATTCTTTGTACATTCCTTCATTATCTGAGCCAAAGGAACTTCAGCATAAAGGAGATGCCCAACCAAAACTAAAATATGCTTCTGGCTTAAATATAGAATTTATGGACTATATATTTAAAGAACACAGACAGATGTGTATAACAAAGGCTCTCAAGAAAGCCAGTCTAGAAATCTTTCAAATACAGAAGACTGGGTACATGTTTGGAAGTACTCATGACCATGAAAAGAGCAATTGCAGCAGATGCTCAGGGAAAATGCACTAACAATGTGAAGGCATTCATTAACTAACACTACTCTATGAAAACTGTCATTCCAAAGGACATTTGCAAGCAAACCACTTTCCATACCACATCATCAGTAAGGTAATCCTGTCTATAATGCTGAAGAGGAAACAGAAGGGACGGTCAATTCTAAGCAATGAGCATTCTCTACCAAGCCTTGCAAGGGAAATCATGTGAGCTGTATATTTTACATGCACCATGCAAGGGTGAATCCCAGTATGGCTGTGTGTGGACTTGGTAGAACTGATATCTAATGGAAGATCATTGGAGACACCTCTGTGAGACCTACTTTGAGTTAGTGTCTGAGAAACAGTTATGACAAGAAGCAAATCATCTTATCTTTCTGACTTCCTATCTGACATCTGCTCCCTAGAGTGATGCCTTCCTCATGAGTTTCTCAGTAAAGGTACTAATGCTTTAGCCTTCAGAACTGTGAGATCAATAAATTTATCTTCTTCATAAAAATACCCAGCCTGAGGCATTTCATTATAGCGACATAAAGATTAATACAATTGTAATAGGATTGTTCACACTTTCTGTTTCTTCAGTTTCAAAAGGCTATATTGTAAGAATATGTTCAATTTTAGTGTATTTTAAATACATTTTTATAATACCATATTCTCCTGTAATATAAATATAGGCCACTATGCATTGACGATGAAACATTTTTAAGGTTTATGATGCAGTCTAGGGATATAGTTTAGTTGGCATATTGTTCGCTTAGCATGCATGAAACCCTAACAGAACATATTAATGTGTCCAAGAAAAATAAACAGCATGGGAATGATATACAAATTCTGTGCTTCCAAGGCACATTGTATAAACAAAGCCATGCACAGCAACAGATTGGAATAAAGATTGGAAATGTAGAAGGTAACCAGAAGCTATGAGACAGATGAGCAGAGGAACACAGAGGTGAACAAATACTGTTTTTTAATATAGATAAACTTCTTAGGAAGTCATCAGTAGCTCACATGAAAAGTCTGGGTGGGTGCCCAAGAGGACAGCCTTTCAGCATCTGTTACAAAGCCAGTCTTGCCTAGCTAACGGGATTCCATCCCAATTCCTCCTGGGAAGGCATATTCTGCATATTCTCTCAGTCAGAAGGCCTTTCCCTGTACTTGGGAAGGAAAGATTACTTGAATCCAAAGTAACCATATCATGGGACTTGGGATATAATTGTATGACCCTCAGCAAAATGATAATACTGACAGAGTGGAAACTCAAATCATCTATAAGCAAGAGTCGACTCCCTTTCTTTTCTTTTTCTACTTGGTATGGGTGGTCTTGAAATGTGGCCCAGGATGGCTTCAGGCTCATAAAGGCCTGATTTAGCCTCCAAACTACTGAAATACCAGCTGTGTACCTCATATGGTGAGACTACAAATCTCCTTTTTAAAAAGCACAAAAAATCTTCAAAGAAATCAGATGAACATTAGTGAGAAAGAGTGGGTCATGAAATCATTTGAACAGAAACATATGAAATTTTAAACTTTATAGTGAGATAATTTAAATAATTACCATCATGGTGACATTCATACCATGGAGAGGAAGAACTACAACCACACAAATGCAAACTGCCCCTTAGTTGACTACACTGCCTTCTGTCTTAGTCAAAAGGCCAATGACTTTTTTTGTTAGTTTGTTTTTTCGAGTCGGGGTTTCTCTGTATTGTTTTGGAGGCTGTCCTGGAATTAGCTCTGGAGACCAGGAGGGCCAAAAGGCCAATGACTTTTAATGAGAGGGAATAGACTCTGGTAGGCATTCTGATCTGGGAACTGTAACACATTGGTTGTGGTCATGCCTAGCATGAACACAGATACTAGTTTTATGTGAAGTGTCATGAGAAAGCAGTAATTAAATGCATTAGGAAGAGAAAGAACTGAGATCCCCAAGAGACTTTGGAAAGAGGACAGTGAGGGAAAAATTTACCCAATGAATGTAGAGTTATTACAAGTAAGGTACAGTGGTGCATGTATGGGATCCCAGCACCAAGGAGGTGGGGATCAAATGTATCAGGAGCTCAGTTATCTCAGGTTACATGGTCAGAGTTCCAGGATAACCTCAGTTACAAGAGAACATATTTCAAAAGAAGAAGGAAAGTATAGTCATTAATCAGTTTTGTAGTGGTACAAGAATACATTAACAAGTGAAACATAAGGGTGGCCAGAAATAATCATGCATGTCACAAAACTGAATAAGATAAAAACAAAGTAGTATATCAGCTTTAAAAGTGGTGGGGGGAGTGGCAACAGAAACTGCCCAATGTTTACCAGTGCACACTGACCTGAGTTCAGTTCCCAGCACCCAATATCAGGCAGCCCACAACCACCAGTAACTTTAGTACCAGAGCATTCAGGAGAAACCATCACTCATGTGTACACCCCCACACAGACACACATACATACATATAATTTATAAAGTATGAAAAGAGCGATTCCTCCAAAGAAAAGCCTACCAAGGAAATGAAGAAAAGAACATTTAAAAAATGTATCCTATGTCCACAACGTCAAAAAATAAATCTCTGACTTAATGGCTCATGCCTTTAATGCCAGCAATTGCAAGGCAGAAGTGGTGGAGCCTTGTGAGTTTGAGACTAGCCTGGTCAACATAGTGAATTCCAGAACAGTCGCAGCTAGTTAGAGAGACCCTGTCTCAACAACAACAGAACCATCCCATATCCAAAGAAAAAGTCAAGAG